CTGATTGGTCGGCGGGGGAGTGACTGTACCTTCTATAGATGGCCTTGGCCAAGGCAATCTATAGATGGCCTTGGGCTCTCTATCGTCTGGAGGTTTCGAAAGATGCTCTCCAGAGATGGCGCTAGTAAATTCGGCTGACATGACGTCATGTGATGGGTTTTGTGAGAGCAAATGCAATAATAGTTGAAAATTTTCTACTTTTGCTTAATTAAGAAAAAATAAATATACAATTGTTCAAAACAGCGTTTTCTTCATTCATCCTTGATTGTTTTAAGAGGAATATAGACAGTTTAAATTTTTTCTTGACCGCAATTCGCACACGCACTAAATTAAAAGCTGGAGTTTTTTTGTGCGTTCGTAAATCGTGATTTGAGAAAATAAATTGACAATAATCTTTTGCACTTTTGCTTTACAATCATTTTTCAATGCAGATAAATGCATAAAGTATTCGAAAATAGGCATATCTTTGAAATATTATGATTTTCCACAAGCAAATTGTTTCCAAAAACTTGAACTACTGCCAACTGACGAACGCATCCAATAATCTGGATGTCTTAGGATGAGTTCGTCATTTTTTTTCCAAGGAAATACGATACAGTTTAAGCTACTTTACCGATTTATTAGGGTACTTTTGCCAATGAGTTAATAAATAAATGACAACAATTAATCTCATTATCAACCATACTCGGAAGAATTTTCTTCGCATAAGCGCGAACACATCCGCGTTTTCATGAAAAGTAACGCCTGCAGATGTCAGGACTGCTGCTTTATGTTTCGCAAGGTGGCGCAGCGCGCAGGGTACCGACTACCGAGCCCCGAGGCTGAGGTCTCCAGACTCTCCACCACGATTTAGCTTGGAAATGGCCAATGGGGAAGGTCTCACCCCAAAAAAACGGACGCCCTTTTACACAGCTGCATAACGAGAATGAATTATTGGCATATACCGGGGTTACATGAGCAAGTAAATGCGTATCAGGAACGGATTTTCCTATTCGCTCACCATTGTAGTCCGTTTGTAATGCGTATTAACTCTGCTCATGTAACCCCGAGCATAGCTGACCATACGTCCCCTCCCCCTCTCCGCCCTAGCTCAATTGGAAATATCGCCTATTTTCCTTAGTCAGTTATATTCTGACTAATTTCTCACTCTTCCGTAAACCTTAACATGCACAGATGCAGATGTCCACTGCGTAAGTCGTGTGCTTGCGTAAGTGTGCCAACTATATAGTGTTGCCTACACTCTACAGTGCCTACTGCTTCCACCGTTGTCGTTATAATTGGTGATTGTCAGGTCAAAAGTTACACAGTGGTCTCAGAGAACAATCGGTTCAACAAATTAACGATTCAAACCGTTGCATTCTACTTATATTCCGGTCAGTTCTGCTACTAAACGATTCCGGCAAACACTCTTTAGGTTATGTATTAGCGAACCACCACACAAAATTCGCCCGATCAATGGTCAGTTATTACTGCTGGGCTGAACCGTCATACGCTATATAGCCTATTGCAGTCAATATTTTCAGAACGATACCGACTGACGAAACACAAAGTATTCGCGGATTCGCACATACGTTGGCACCCAGGTGGCCTGTCAGCAGCCGCACAAATTGAGATGGTACACCGTAAAGCATGCCTTTCCACACAGGCACAAGCACAGGGACACAAATTCTCAAAATCCAAACTTATTCCAATACTGGTCAAATACTAATAGGCATAAAGTTTTGATGTTTTCTCATGTTCATTCTTCTTTCAACACACGCGGCAAACTGCAGCAGAACATCTCAGAGCTGCGCTGGATGCAGTCATGAGCTGGGACACGGTTTGTGACCAATGACCGATCGGGGGTGCCAGCCTCCTCCCGGCACGCGATGCACTGGCCGCCGCGCAGTCGATGTCGGGGCACCGCCGGCATTCGCCGACAGGGTTCCATCCGATTCGGTGTATTGGTGGCAGCCCGAACAGTGACCCACGTGAAGCTGGTGGACGTCGATGGCCGATGAGCGATGCTCTTCCGCGACCGGCGGTGGCAGTCGGTCCCACATCAAGACAGATACCAGTCATGCGGTCAGTCGGCGACGGCGCGGTCGCGAGCCGATCTGATGGTCGCGCGGTGGGCGTTGCCGACGTCCGCCGGGACCGTCGACTGGGGGAGCGCGGCCGCCTCTTGCCGCCGCCTCTGGTCGGCGCGCTCGTTGCGCTGTGGGACGGCATCCACTGCAAGTCGTTCATTGTGAAGCGGTCGTTTGACCGGACCTGGCAGGCGGGGAAGGGGGCCTCAGATGAAGTAAAACCATCCCTCAGGCCAGCTTGAGCTGGCTCTCAGTCTCCACCTCACCATGTTAGATAAGCGGACACCCTCGTGATCATCGCAGTGATGATTGCCAATTGGTGTGTCATTATGGAAGAGGATGCCAGCCTCCTTTGCAAGATAGTCTGCCTTTAATAGTGCAGCCCGACCCATTGCCTGTGGCAGCAGACTGGGCTTAATAATGCAGTGCAGGACACCCAAACGTAAGCGGCCATCTGTACCCCCTGTGCAGTGTGCAGTAGGGCTGACTCAAGAGCCCAGAGTTGCCCTCCCCCCCATTCTGTGCACGTGATAACTGGATGGGACATGCCATGGGCAGCATCTGTTCAAAAGCTGCCCTAAGCATGTAAAGCTCCACTGGCATGCTCAAGCATGGTCACAGTCAGTTCTCACTTCTCAGTTGAACCTCCAATGGAAACCCATCACAAAGTAGAGATCAGGGCGCCTCTCACACTGCAGCACACTCAACGACGAGGCACCATCTCATCACTTGCAGGTGGTTCTTGCCAGGAGCAATACCAGCCACGCACATCAGGTGATAACAGCAGTGTACAACTGCAATCTACAAGCATCCATGTTCTTTCTGGTTTTCTCCTGTTGAGATCCACTGCCATGCATGAACTTGATTGTGATGGGCTTTTGTTGCGCTCCTCCCATGTGCAGACAGGTTTCTGCTGAAACAAAGCAAAGCAAATGTGATTAATAATGGCCCTGTTTCACCATCCAGACACTGTGTGCACTGGTAGCTATGGCATACCATAGCATCACCCAAATGACGTTGCATGTGATCTCTTAGTTTATGATGAATCACGTTTGGAACAGAGTGAGAGGTTCTGAAAAACCGTACCAAAAACAGAGGTTTGAGTTCAAATACTGCTAGCATGCTGCTGGTGCTCGTACCGCAGTGTGCTAGCGTTCTGGGATGCTGTCATAGCTTAGCGTCACAGTGAAGTTTGTTGACACTGCCATGGAAACCCAATGCTCTGACACACGCAGCGCACTGCAGTGCTCTGCCGTGAAACACCACCCATGAATGTTGGTTGCATGACCATGATATGAAATGATATGAAATGATATGAAATTAGACCATGATATGAAATTACACAAGGAGCAGTCAGTCCATCAAGCCAGACAAAGGTTCTTCTCACAGAGGGTGGCTAATGACTGGAACAAGCTACCAGATGATGTTGTGTCTGCTGACACCACTGCTACATTTAAAGCTAAGCTAGATAAGCACCTCCAGCTCAAAGCCAACTGTGACCTGTGACCTCCAACCTCAATGAGTACCCTGACATGTTTCCTTGCCAACAATGACATGGACAACAAATAGCATACTGCTACCCCAAGTCCATTATCTATATACCTATACCTATACCTATGACCAGGATCGGAGCAGTGTGGCAGGCAGTGATTTTAATTTTAATTGCACTTCCTAGAGATTAACAAGTTGTTGGTCAAATTGCTATTCATTATTCCTATTACCATTGTCTAAATTTCACATTTCAAGACAGCATCAGCATTGACATGCTATATAAATAAGGTTTAGACTTCAGGTGGCCCCGGGATCAGCTATTAAGTAGAACAAGGGCAAAAAATTGTCAAAAATATTTTAAAAAATACCTGCCTTCATCAACACCTCTACTAATAATCACATATCTCTATACAATCAAACGCAGATGGGTTAAACAACAATGCCCTAAAAGCAAAAACCGTTTGAATAACAATGTAATATTTTGCAACTGCTGCACCATTACTGTCACGTACGCTATCCCTAGATTGGTTGCTGGTAAGTAGTGGTTGTCGTCATCAACTCGTCATACAGCAGCTGATTGGGATGGGCGGGGCCTATTTTTATCCAGGCGATAGAGAGAGCCTGGCCTTGGCGCAATCCACCCCTCAGCAGCTCCCCCTTCTCATTTATGAGCATCAGCAAATGGCGCACCGCAAATGTATCAAAAATCAAGGATGCCAAATATATTTGTAATTGTTAACCATACTTTTAAGATGACGTCATCAGTTTTCAATTCTTCGCAGCTACTCGGTAAAGAATCTTGACTCGGCACAAGCTCGATACAAGGTTCTTGTACGCGTTTCACGCGGGTGGCGATGACAGATTTGACACACCATTGACCGGAGCTCTAGCCGGAGCTGGCCCTGGGAATCGAACTCCCACGAACTTCCCCAGCTCTCCCTAACGAAAAATCGCCGGTGACATTGAAATCGTCTAAACCCCTCCCCCTCCTACCCCAAGGACCGCGGCTACTCCTGGTTCAAGCCCATAAGACGCTGCTCCTGATGGTACTGCGAGTCGCGAGCACTGTTCATAGATTTAATCGGCATTGTTGAATTGCGGTCCTGCCGCACGCTAGGCGTCACGTCCGGTGGCGCGACCCGAGAGGGCCTAGTACACGGTCGCACAGCCCTTTCCCGGTACAGGAAAAAAGTAGATCCAACATAGCTGGCCTTGGATCCAACACCTTCTTCAAGCGACAACTTCCTCCAGGTCCTGGCTCACCCACACCGTGGCTTTCCGGCCTCACCAGTTCCCAGCAGCTGGACTGAACAATGACCACTCAGATCAAACGGTCAGCACTACCCGGCCTCGAACTCGCTACCACCGAGTCGGGCATCCCTCCAATAGATCACGAGCAAAACTCCACACTTTATCAGAGGGATCCAACAAACACATCGCAGCATTTCAACCAGCTCTCTATTCCATAATGACCACAGTAACATTTCGCAGGCAAACGCGGCTGGAACCGGATCCAAATACGAATCAATGCCAGACCAGCGTTCGATATTAGAAACGGTGGCCAACTCAATACGTCAGAGATTATCTCAAAATGACTCGCAAATAAGAACAAACGGTTGATCTCGAGCATGACTGCGGTTCGGTGTAGAGCCAACAAATGCCTCAAATAAACATACAGTATATGCATTTCCCACTGAGCGGCGTGCACAATATCTGCCCCGCACATAACGATAAGCTCCAGCCGGCCAGAGCGGGCGTGGCGGGGGCGCGCAGACTTCACGTGCCGGCCGCTATACAAACGCACCACGCCAGTACCTCCTCTGTAATCGGACAGGGCCCGCTCACCCCGCCCGGACCGCCCGAAGGCTAATAATTCTCATCAAACTCCTCTCAGCTGCTATAAACATCAGACACCCGTCACTAGTCGGCGCAGCTGGCACAAACACGATGGCAAGCCGGGCGGCTCACAGGCGCCGCCGCTGTCCCTGCTTTTTACACAAGCCCTGTCACACAGGGACTCCACAGCGCGGAGAGCTCCACAGCCCGCGTAACGGGGCTCCACAGCGCGTACCGGTGCTCCGCAGCGCAAACCGGTGCTCCATGGCGCAGACACCGACATCGCAGAGATCACCAGAACGAGCACCTGGTGGAGAAAGACAGAAACACGTCAGGAAGGGGGAGGGCGGAGGAAAGAGTAGAGACACCACAGTTATATGAGATGGAGGGGGCACATGGCACGGAGACCGAGCTCGCATCAGAACCGGCCGGGGCAGCCGTACCTCCAGCAGTACGCCAAAAGAAGGCACATAACAAGTGCACAGTGCACACTTTCAAGCCCATAAGATACATAATAGAGGTGGCAAAATGTGGACCCGAGGACCCGGTCCAAAGAACCAGTTTGGACCCATATGGGTCCAGACCGGTTCCTGGAAATTTTCTGACGGGTACAACCGGGTCCTACCATAAACTATACATCTTGCACACTACACATTATTGCAAAATATGAAGTAAATGAAGTGAATGTTTCTTTGCACACAGTAGCTCATGCCATGAGTATTCTCAGTGGGAAATAGGCTGTTTTACATGATGCAACTAATGATACCTAGAAGTAGTTTGTATTAATTGACTTTAGGGGAACGGGTCCAACTGGTTCCGATTCCAACTGAGACCGGGTCCGACTGGTTCCAGAAATGTCCAGCCGGGTCTGGTTCGAGTCTGGTTCCCAAAATTTTCATCTTTTGCCACCTCTGATATATAACATCCTCTCAACGATCCAAGAAAATGCAACAGTTGAAGTCCACGTCATCATATTATAGCTCGATGGATTTTAAATCACTAATTCCTCCAAATGCATCACTTTGGCTGGCAATGTCCATCTCCCCCGGGTCCCGGACTACCATTACCCCCCCCTGTCAACTCACCATCCGATGTAGCACTGGCAGAGGTTCTCGTGCGATGTGGCCTGCAGGATGAGCCGGTCCACCTGGTCGCGCACACACAGCGGTACCTCGTTGGCAAAGTCCGTGCCCGTCAGCTTGTCCCGCACCCGCTGGATGATCTGCACGGCCTTCTTGTTCTGCGCCTCGGGCACTACGGCGTCGCCGTCCCCTGGAGAGAGGAGAGCAGGGCGCTCAGAGACTCGTGTCGACGGGATACAACCGGTATACAGAGACCTCATACAAGCCGCGTCTTCTATACATTTACCGTCTTATTTTACCCAGGACCATTACATTAAAGGTAAAGTAAGTCAGCTCGGTTTAGAGGAGCTCTCTAGCTCGTGACCATCATGAGTTCACATGTAAAGGAGAGATACGCGTCAGCAACGTGAGCCCAATAATGACACCAATGAAACCAGCCAACAATCGTGCGATCACATGCATTGATCAACCGATAGGTCCCTCGCTACTGATCCCTGCGCGGCGCGGCGCCCTCACCGATGCGCTGTTGTCCCTCGATGCTGCTGTTGTGCCGACTCCTCAGCGGCGGGCTGGAGCCCAGCTGGGCGCCCTGCTCGAGGTCGGCGGCGTCGCCCTCTGCGGGCCCGCCGGCGCCGCCCGGGCCGCCGCCGCCCGTCGGGTGACGCCGCACCTGCTGCGGAGCGGGGAGGGAGCATGGGGTCAGGGCGAGGGTCGGACAGAAGAGAAAGGCACACAAGTAGGTACAGACGAGAGCGACACTTTCACTGTGGGATACATATCGTCCATTTTATGTTGGCATATTTTATTGTGATTGTGCGCAAAGATCATACGTCCCCATCCCACACCCTCGATAGCCTGTAATTGGGTAACAGCTGGTACCATGCGTCCACTCACCCTTGGCACTCCAGTTAACCCCTCACACCAGCTAGCCGCTTACGGTACAGAGCCTAGTGTGCCTTCCTCATCGTCCACCGCTGGTGTACGTACCGCGCGCGGGCTGTCGACCAGGCACCAGTTGAAGAGCGGGTCGTACACGAACGCCTCGAGCACGGCCATCAGGCTGTCCTTGTTCTTCCGCAGCACCGTCATCACAGACTCGCACGTCATCCGGTACGTGCCCTCGATACCGTCACCTGGAGATTAGATGTTAGATGTTAGTGAGGGGCAAGTATCTGCCTCTCAAATGACTGTCACCTGGCGGTCAGACGTGATAATATGTCAGTCTGATGACAGTCACCTACCAGTCGGACTGGAGTTACTACGGGCGCCGGGCAGGACGGCTCGGCTCATGTGGCACAGATCAGACGCGGCAGCACGTGAATTATGGTATGCAGCAGAACATGCTGCAAAGGTTCTAAGCCACACTAATGCAAATGAGACTTGCTTTCGACGTAGAGGATCATATACCGGAGTCCTACCAGCCCCTGCCTCAGCCCCGGTGACCGTTCTATCGGCTCACCTCCATGGCGTTGACCAGCATCCGCGTCAACCGGAAGGGGATCTTCTCTGGGAACTTTTCCCGCGTCATGGCCACCTCGAAACAGTCGCCGAAGTCGATGTGCAGGATCTTGCCGCTCATACGGTCCAGCATCAGGTTGGACGGATGTCTGCGGCAAACAAAGACGTGTCAGTGTGTAACTGAAAGCGAAGCAAAATTTTCGGACAGGAGTGCCCCGGCCTCTTCTACTCCCCTCCCACTAAAAACAGCGGTATCGACTATCGAGTATCATGTGACGGGATGAGAGCTCGTATACCAACCACTGCTTCACAAGTCATCATAATTCCCCAATTCCGACGCGTCCCTTCCCAGTTTCCTCCCCACCAATCCCTCTCTCCTCCTTCCTGCCCCTCCCCTCCCCTCATTCACCTATCTCCCAGTCCGAGCACGTATCCGACCATGCTCATCACTGCCAGTGAGCGGGTGAAGTTGGCGCGCCGGTCGAACCAGTCTTCCGAGGAGGGCGACTTGAGCCACAGCAGGCGCGCCAGGTCGTCGCCCTTGGTGGTCTCCAGCGCGTGCTCAAACACCTCGACCTTCTGTAGTAGCGTCAGGTGCTCGTAGTCCGGCGCCATCTGGCGATATTAGAGACAGAGAGAGAGAGGGTCAGTCACACAAACAGCACGGCTGACGGCGGCTTCTGTAGCAGCGTTGGGTGTTCGTAGTCGGGCGCCATCTGAGATGATATATCAGAGACAGGGAGGGGGGTCAGTCACACAGACAGCACGGCGGCTTCTGCAGCAGCGTCAGGTGCTCGTAGTCCGGCGCCATCTGAGATTATATATCAGAGACAGAGACTGAGGTGTCAGTCACACAGACAGCACGGCGGATTCTGCAGCAGCGTCAGGTGTTCGTAGTCGGGCGCCATCTGAGAGGATATATCAGAGACAGGGGGAGGGGTCAGTCACACAGACAGCACGGCGGCTTCTGCAGCAGCGTCAGGTGCTCGTAGTCGGGCGCCATCTGGCGATATCAGAGGGGTTGGTCAGAGGGCTGTTCACGGGCCCTGTGTGCGGTCGGGCCGTACACAGGCTGTAAGCTCCGCCCACTGCGTCCCTTCGTCATCCTTCCGTCATCGCACACAGCGACCGCTGTGGTCGGTCGGGACCGGCCACAGCGGACCGTCCACCGCACGCAGCCATTACGTCAGAACCGCCTACCCATCCCCTACCCCCGCAGCAGTTTGCGGTGCCCGTGAACACCCCTCAGGTCATAGGGATGAGGTGGCACAATCATTCACAGGCTAGACAGACACACTGTTTGAAATATCCACCACTGCTTCTTCCATCTCACCCCTGGGCGTACAATATTCCAACACTCACCCTCAGCATGATTTTGTGCTCGATGTTGAGCATGATCTTCTTTTTCTCGCGGTGGTCCCTGATGAGCGTGTGCAGTGTGTCCGAGTGCGGCACCCAGCCGATCAGGCCACTGTTGGTGCTCAGCGGCACCACAGCGAACCGCTGGATGGCCAGGTTGCGCCGCATCGTCTCCGGCGCCGTCTTCAGCAGCGTGTTCACCAGGCCGAACAGCTGCATCACCCGCTCGTCCTGGCGCAGGTCCTCGTGGCCCTTCACCAGGAACGTGTAGTCGCGACCGTCGCTGCCTGCGGAGCGCAACAGTGGACAAAGTTAAACGGGAAACTGTAGCTTGACAGCTATACCGCTACGTTATAGAAAAATAATGGAGCAATTACGGAATGAAATCACTCCAGACCTGAGTAGACGACAGAGACAGTGAACATTTAATACGTTTTTTTTCAAGACCAAAGCTTAGCTTGAGTAACATCAAAACTAAACCACTGAAGATGTCATAAACAACCACAGACCACCAGCTGCAGCCCAATTGAACCCTCATCTAGCACACGTTGCCCCAACCATCAGCGACCGCTGATCGGGTCACACAGGTCATCTACACAGATAGGGAGGAGGATTCAGCAAGCCCCCCCCCCACACACACACACGGTGACGCACCTCTCATGGTGACCTTGCGCGGCCTCTGTTTGGTGCTGAACACGGTCAGGGTGGATTTGACGCGCGCGATCCGGATGATGGGCATGTGCGGCACGTAGCTGCCCGGAATGGCCAGCTCCAGGTCGCGCGCGTTCATCAGCGCCGGCGACACGTACTGTGAAAACGAGCAGAGAGAACACGTACTGAGAACATGCCGAGATAATACAATGCTGAAACCACGCACCAGTGTCTGACCTAGACTCATCGAAATATGGATCAAACACTCAGAAACACAAAGACCCCCTTTCCCTCCATCTCCCCGGCTTTCCGTACCGGCAGGTCGAGGTTGGTGATGAGCGGCAGCTGTTTGGAGATCCGCCGGAACACCTGGTAGTAGCGGTTCCAGGCCAGGTTCAGCTCTCGCTCGTTGCCGCTCCTCTTGTAGCGGCGGCACAGCTCGTGCGCGTCCTGCAGCTCCTGGCCGTGAGCCTGACAGGGGAGTCACAGGCTATGCGTCAGCTGGGGGGGGGGTGGGGGGTGGTGGTAGATCTTGCGGTCAACGCCATAATTCACTCGGCCTCGGGCACTCACTTACACTCACATTGGTGGAGACGGTCAAAATGCGAAGATTGGTTACAAAGTTAGATGCAGGACGACCTCTCATGAGTTCATTCACTGTATTGGATACCTTATCGGAACAATGCATTTTCACGGTCTGTAAAACTATCCACTCAGCTGGGTGGATCTCTCCGTTCGTTCGTTCGTTCATTGGGGTTTACGGGCGCGTCGACTGCGGTGGTCATTTTGCGCCCATAACGCTGTACTGGTAAAGCGGATATGTCAACAGAGAACTGACGAACTGAAGAAGACTAGAACTACTTGAGATACGTTATACTAGTAAAACAAGTATATCACAGGAAAACTGATGGATTGAATATAAGAAAAGATGCTGCCGGATAAAACCCAGGGTGAGTCATCACCCAGCAGGTGGCGAATGGTGGTGCCTGGGGCAATGCGGCCGAGGCAGCGTGTCCGGTTTGGTTCGAGGTGCGGGCAACTTAAGAGAATGTGAGTGACTGTGAGCGGCACGGCACAATGGCTACATGTTGGTTGATCATCTCCACGGAGGAGATAGCCATGCGTTGCATACGTATGCCCTATCCGTAGTCTGCAGAGGACCACTTCATGGCGTCTTTTGCCTTGAAAGCAGGACTGCCAGGGCTCCAGAGTAGGTTTCACCTTTCGTAGCTTCTCGGATCCATGGAGACGCCACTCTGTCTGCCAGCTAAACGTCGTAAAAGATCGAACGGCTGGGTAAAAATCGCGAGCCGGCAGAGGCAAACGACGGAGGCAGGGGGCCGCGGCAGCGCGTCTTGCGGCCGCGTCGGCAAGCTCGTTGCCTCTTATGCCCACATGGCTCGGTATCCAGCAGAACTGGATGAATTTACCTGCTCGTTCCACCGACGTAAGACGAGATAAAATGTCTTGTACTATCGGGTTGTCTGGATTAAAACTCCGTAAAGATAAGAGGCTGCTAAGGGAGTCTGACAAGATCAGATAGCAGGAGCTGTCAGACACCTCGATAAAACACAAAGCCTTCTCAATCGCAACGAGCTCGGAAGAAAAAACAGAGGCAGAAGTTGGCAAAGAGAATGTGCGTGTGTCATGACCAGTCACAAAAGCGCAGCCGACACCATGTTCTGTTTTCGAGCCGTCTGTAAAAACCGAGGTAAAACCATCATATGAGGCAATGTGTTCCAGCGCCCGTGCTCGTAGTGTGCATGGCGGCTGATCGTCCTTCCTGATGTCTGTCAGTAAAAGATCGATTCGTGGATACGCATTTCTCCAGGGCGGCGAGGGCGCGCTCCATGTGCGCCTCACGCCGCGAAGAGAAATGTTTGCTTTTGAGAAGAGAGCTTGCATACGTCCACCGAAGGAAGTCGATCGACCAGCCACTCTGTCAGACCGACTGATCTCCCGTGAGAAGACATACGGGTATGCCGGGTGCGAGGGAAATTGACGAAGTTTTAAAACATACCGCATGCCCAACATCTGGCGACGGAGAGATAACGGTGGCTCGTGAGCCTCAGCCAGAACGCTGCTTGTTGGCGAAGTACGGAAAGCACCCGTAGCAACGCGAAGTGAGGCATGATGAATGGTGTCAAGCATTTTCTTACGCGACTCGCTGGCGCTGTTATAAATGAAACTTGCGTAGTCGAGCTTTGAACGTCCGAGCACACAGAGATGCCCCTATGGAGCCAATATACTCCATAGAGGTGAGCCTCTTCCCAGGATAATCTCCTCACCCCCGGGTGAAACCACTTTCTTTGAATCTCCCCGTGCCTCATCTGAAAGAAGCTCTCCGCCAGCGTTCCCTCACTCACCCGAGTAAAGCTCTCTTCTCTCTGACTGCCCCCTCTCCCTTACCTGAGTGAAGCTCTTCTCCGTGAAAGTCTTCTCCCTCACCTGAGTGAAGCTCTTCTCTTTGAGCGTCTCGGGCCCGCGCTCCATCATTGCGTGCAGCGGCTCCAGGACGGCGAACATGGCTGGGATATTGCGCTCGCCGAAATACAGCCGGGACGCCTCCTCCAGGCCCTCGTGCCACCGGTTGTCCCACAGAATCGCCACGCGGATCAGTTCGTCCGACACCTGTCCGGAAGGGGAGGCGGGCGTAGGGGTCAGTCTGATGATTGCGGCGGCTCAAACAGGTCAGGTAGGTCACTGGGAGCTGACCCTATGGTGATGGTCTAAATAGCACAGTCGGAATGCGCATAACGCGGGCGAAGGGTTGAACTTCGCGCAACCATCTTTGATCCACCAGCCGATATTGGACACAAAAATTAACCCCTGTTGCACCAGCGATACACCGGCGCACCCACCATGAACTCCTGCTGGACGAGTGTCTCCGAGTGCTCGCGCATGTTCTTGAGGATCATCTGGGCGGCGCGCTCCCGGGCCGGCACCGACGACTTCTTGGCCACCGTCAGCGGGTACACCAGCGCCTGGAAAGGAGGGGGAGGCCGGTTCAGAGCACGAATGACGTGGCAGGGCAGCGGTCTTTGAGTTCCACATTCTGACTTTACCTATGAAAAGTTTGCGTGGCTTACACGGCACTGGGCTGCATAAACTAAACAAATATGATAGAAGCCGGGTGTAACAAGATGCTAACGAACCCAAAAGTGCATTAACCCGCGAGTTGCTGGGGGGGGGGGGCGTTAAACGCCCCCACTTTTTTCGCCGGGCCATAGCATAAAAACGGCGCGCCGCAGGCGCGCCAAATTTTGGGTACCTGTAGGGAATTGATTGAAGTTTATTGTGACAAAGTTTCAAATCAATCGGTCGGAACATTTTTGAGATATCGAGGTTTTAGTGACGTCATGATTTCTGAGTTTTCGACCAAAAACGGCATATGTTCAAAAAATCATATAAAATCACAGAATAGACATACAGACATGCCGTAAACGCCATTAGACTGCCAATACCATGATCAATCAAATGGCTATCTTCGATTATTGATTATCGTTCCGCATTTTCCAAAATCTTGAACTGAATCTTGGCAATTTTTCGTGACTACTTCACGACCATGATACATGAATTTCTTAAATTGAACTTTTTGAGTCAAACACGTACACATATGATAAAATGAATGTCACCATCGTGTTCTACGCCTCAAATTACCTATAAAACATGTGTCACAGGCTGCGAATATCAGTTTTGATTTTCGGGGATATGGGCCTACCCGGTTGACCTGACCTTGACCCTGACCTATGCTTGACTGACCCCTATATGGAGCTGACACTCTTGTAGGCCTTATAAGATGGATTGTGCACCGTTTTGACAGAGTTTATGGCGAGAGGCGCCCATTGCGAAGTCCTGAAGTCCATGCTACTGAAAGCCCGATTTCAGGTGTTTGACCTGACCTGGACCCGACCTGTGACCTCAAAATTCAACTTTAAAGTATTCATCTGAAGCGTCTCGTCGCGCTCTTTCGTTTGCCGCCTCGTGCGTTTCGCTGCGCCTATTGGTTCTCGAGTTATCGGCTGGGGGCATTTAACGCCCCCCCCCCCCCCAGCAAACGGTGGGTGGCGAAATACCCCAGCAACTGCCGGGTTAATATGTTTTAATTATATAACTGACCTGGGGTGACCTCCAGTATGGTCAGTAAGCATTTTGCGTACAGGACGAGAACTACTAACATGCGAGTGGACCTGTGACCTGTGTGTAGAGCAGCAACTGACCTGCGGGTGGACCTTTCCCAGCTCCGTGAGCAGCGATGTGATGAGCCGCGCGATCAGCGGCCGAGGCGTGTCGATCCGGGCTATCAGCTGCGGAATCACCTGTGAGAACGATCACCCGTCGTTAGCAGCAGCCTCACCGTAAACAAGTGACCGAAGAACAAATACCAAACTGACGGCTTAAAGTGAATTTTACACACGAATTATAAAAGAAGCACCGTCAGCATTACCATCCGGGCATGTTCCCATTTGACCAGCTGGCAGTGACATGTCATAACTTCAGACCGTCCCTCGCCACTAAAAAGACCATATCAGCTGGTGTTTCAGCCACTCCTTCCAATCCCTCCTCGGAATTCCAGACCAACCACCGCGGCCGACATACCTGCAGCCAGTTGTCGATTTTGATTTTCCGGAGTCCCTCGGTGAGGGCGTCGTTGACCTCAGGCACCTGCCCGTACTCGAACCAGAGGGTGAGGAGGCGCAGGGTGTCCTGCAGACTGCTGCCCGTGTTGAGGGAGATGGAGCGGACGAAACCCTGCACGGCCGGAACCACGAACGGAAGGTGGCGGCCAGAGCGCTGTGAGAGGGAAAAGGCGGGGTGAGTCATTATGGTCAGCTTTAATACCTCAATGACTAGTTACAGAACTCAGCACATCCGTCATCTTCCAGTTCCAAGCAAAGCACGTTGTGATTCCAAGCCTACCGTCACCACATTCTCAGTTCGATCCCAGCCTCCAAATCAACACACCATCCGCCATATCCTATTTTTCTGCCGATGTCCACACTTCTGCAGTCACTTAACACCGCCTCCCCGGCGCCTCAGCTGCCGGCGAAACGGCACACCGTCCACCCCACACGCTACCCACCGCCCGCACCCCATACTGCCCGCCCCTGTGACACTCACCACCGCCTCGCCGGCGCCTCAGCTGCCGGCGACACGGCAGCGTCCACCCTACACGCTACCCACTGCCCGCGCCTCCTGCTGCCCGCCCCTGTGACACTCACCACCGCCTCGCCGGCGCCGGCGGCGGGCGACACGGCAGTGTCCACCCCACACGCTACCCACCAGTGCCCGCGCCCCATACTGCTCGCCCCTGTGACACTCACCACCGCCTCGCCGGCGCCGGCGGCGGGCGACACGGCGCACCGGCCACGGAAGAAGAGCACCGCCTGGAAGTTCATGAAGGCCCAGGCGTGCCAGGCGCGGTACCAGCTCGGGTCGTACTTGGTCGAGTACTGGTAGTACCTGCGCACAAAGAGACGCAGGGAAGGAAGAGTGTAACTTACCAACGACTGGGAACTCAGTACCACAGAGTCACGAAACAACTCCCCGAGTAGCAAGCCGAGGATAAACGTTTCCAGCGTTAGCATAGCGTTTAACAGGTAAGGAGCCTACATAAATCCTGTAAAATCAAACAAAACTAAGAATAGAAGGAAAGCTCAAGGAACAAAAGTACCTCAACTACCCAAGAATCGTTTCCCCTTTCCCCTTTCTCTCCCCCTCTGTGTACTCACTGCAGCACGGCCGGTATGGTGGTCTCGGAGAGCGGCTCAAAAGGACCGGTCCATCCCCTCCCCCTGCCCGTCACTCACTGCAGCACCGCCGGTATGGTGGTCTCGGAGAGCGGCTCAAAAGGACCGGTCCATCCCCTCCCCCGCCCGTCACTCACTGCAGCACCGCCGGTATGGTGGTCTCGGAGAGCGGCTCAAAAGGACCGGTCCATCCCCTCCCCTCCCCCGCCCGTCACTCACTGCAGCACGGCCGGTATGGTGGTCTCGGAGAGCGGCTCAAAAGGACCGGTCCATCCCCTCCCCTTCCCCGCCCGTCACTCACTGCAGCACGGCCGGTATGGTGGTCTCGGAGAGCGGCTCAAAAGGACCGGTCCATCCCCTCCCCCGCCCGTCACTCACTGCAGCACCGCCGGTATGGTGGTCTCGGAGAGCGGCTCAAAAGGACCGGTCCATCCCCTCCCCTCCCCCGCCCGTCACTCACTGCAGCACGGCCGGTATGGTGGTCTCGGAGAGCGGCTCAAACTCCATAATGCGACCAGTCCCCCATCCCTCTCTCTCTACGGTGTACTCACTGCAGCACGGCCGGTATGGTGGTCTCGGAGAGAGACTCGAACTCCACCCAAGGACCAGTCTCCCCTCCCCCTCCTCTCTCCCCTGTACTCACTGCATCTCCCCTGTACTCACTGCAGCACGGCCGGTATGGTGGTCTCGGAGAGCGGCTCAAACTCCTCCTTCCAGGCTCCCAGTTTGAGGAAGCAGCGGGAGAGCAGGATGGCCGGCGACTCGCCGCGCGGCTCGTCCGAGCTCAGCTGCGGCACCTGGCCGGCGCTCAGCGCCGCCGCACGGCCGTACGTGCTCACAGAGGCCGACACGAAACTCTCGAGCCGCCTGCAGGGAGGGGGCAGGTCAGTCAGAGGGTACACAGGGCCACCGCCCGGCCGTAGGTGCTCACGGAGGCTGACACGAAACTCTCCAGACGTCTGCCGGGAGGGGAGGGGCAGGTCAGTCAGAAGGTACATTGGGCCGCCGCCCGGCCGTACGTGCTCACAGACGCCGACACGAAACTCTCCAGCCGTCTGCGGGGAGGGGGCAGGTCAGTCAGAGGGTACACAGGGCCGACACGAAACTCTCCAGCCGTCTGCAGGGGGAGGGGGCAGGTCAGTCAGCGGGTACAGCGCCGCCGCCCGGCCGTAGGTGCTCACAGACGCCGACACGAAACTCTCCAGCCGTCTGCGGAGTGCGATATGGGAGTAAGAGGTCAGTTCTTCTGTTCGGAGGGGATTGCCTCATTTCGCATGCGATTTACGATCTGTCGTGCTTAGCCGACCTTCACAATATACTTTGACACAAGACACGAGAAATATAAAAAATACATGAATGAAACCTAGGGTGCACCATGAATAGATTGTAGACATACTACCACCTGATTAACAACAAATCACATTCCTCAATCCCTCCCCCTGACCATCTCCGGCTAAGGAGCTCCGACCATCCGCTGACCTGAGCGCCTCGGGTTTGTCGCCGGCCGCCCACTGGTACTTGATGTAGGCGTAGCGCACGTGCGGGTTATCCTTCTGGGACGGACCTGGGTTCTCCGCTATCAGCTCGTCCAGAATCTGACGAGACTGGTTCTGAAGCACGGAGGAGGGAGTGAGGGTTAGCATTGGGACGGAGTGCGACTAGTCTGGTGAAATACTAGCCGATCAATGCGGTATACAAGACCTACAATACGCAAGCTGGAAGATATCTCACATATTTTATCGACGACATCGTGTATTATAGTAGGTACCTACCTGTACCAGACGCGTACGCCTGTGTACCAAAGCGAGCAAGGATTGGAAGTCGTGACCAATATTTATGGGGAATATTTGTTTCTGGTCCCTAAAAAGCTGTTTCTGGCACCTAATTGCTGATCAGCCCCAAAATGCTTATTCGACCCTAATATCTGAATCTGGCACCTAATTGCTTCCACACAGCCTAAAGTTGCCAGATCGTCTAGTTGAACTCCGTATTTGCTGTTTGCTGATTCAGCACCAAAACCAAAACATCCAGCACCTATTTTATTCCACGTTTGCCTACCTAATTCGCGTAATCTTCCTGATTTTATGTATCCTAACAACATGAACGTTGCATTCGGTGATGTCAAGTGCCATTTTCGCCAGTGGAGATAATGATTAATGCCATTTCTAGCCAAAAGAGAATCACTAGCCAGCTATGGTGCAGCATAGCAAGACGCTCCTATACCAGCCCGCTATGTAGAGACTACTACTAGAGATTATTGCACCCTCAGCCATTTTAACGTGAAAAGTTTGGATCCGTCACTTCCAGCCAGGCTCTCAGGTCATAAACTGGAGTAAAGCAAAATGTCAACTCTTAACAGACATGCCACGCAACTGGCCCTCTTTTCAATATTATTAGCTTTCTGGCCTGCAATCATCGTCTGACTCCATCTCGATCAAACGCAGCATCCGGTTTCTACAGGGGCGTTTGACTGACCGGCCACACAATAACCAAAAACAAAATCAAAGCTTCATGCACACATATGACATAAGTAAGAAACGGATGAAAAAGGCACAACCACGGCACAACTCTGCGCAGCAAACAACGGACAATGTCCCACGCAAGATCCCGCGTTTCTTCAGCGGCCTTGAACGGAATGAAAACAGTACATTTCTTTTTTGGAGCTATTTGATGACGTCAAAAGATACAATACCCGTTTTAATGGTCAAAATCGAGACAATTACTCACAAAAATGTTTCCCTTTAAGCATTACAAATAAATACTTCTAAATATCTAAATGACATTGTTTTTTCAAACAAATCAATATTATTTGCTTACTTAACCCGCGAGTTGCTGGGGGGGGGGGGGGGGGTACCTGTAGGGAATTAATTGAAGTTTATTGTGACAAAGTTTCAAAAAAATCGGTCGGAACATTTTTGAGATATCGAGGTTTTAGTGACGTCATGATTTCTGAGTTTTCGACCAAAAACGGCATATGTTCAAAAAATCATATAAAATCACAGAATAGACATACAGACATGCCGTAAACGCCATTAGACTGCCAATACCATGAACAATCAAATGGCTATCTTCGATTATTGATTATCGTTCCGCATTTTCCAAAATCTTGAACTGAATCTTGGCAATTTATCGTGACTACTTCACGACCATGATATATGCATTTCTTAAATTGAGGTTTTTGAGCCAAACACGTACACATATGATAAAATGAATGTGACCATCGTGTTCTACGCCCCAAATTACCCATAAAACATGTGTCACAGGCTGCGAATATCAGTTTTGATTTTCGGGCATATGTGCCTACCCGGTTGACCTGACCTTGACCCTGACCTATGCTTGATTGACCCCTACATGGAGTTGACACTCTTGTAGGCCTTATATGATGGATTGTGCACCGTTTTAACAGAGTTTATGACGAGAGGCGCCCATTGCGAAGTCCTGAAATCCATGCTACTGAAAGCCCGATTTCAGGTGTTTGACCTGACCTTGACCCGACCTGTGACCTCAAAATTCAACTTTGAAGTACTCATCTGAAGCGTCTCGTCGCGTTCTTTCGTTTGCCGCCTCGTGCGTTTCGCTGCGCCTATTGGTTCTCGAGTTATCGGCTGGGGGCGTTTAACGCCCCCCCCCCCCCAGCAAACGGTGGGTGGCGAAATACCCCAGCAACTGCCGGGTTAAACGTCATATACAATGCTGAGATCACTACGGGGCTGTCTTAGAGTGTAGCTGCACTGGCAACCTTTAGGCTAGACTCCAGGGGTCATTATACCAGAACAACATGATTCTACCAGCCAGTATTTCATTTTTCTACTAGATTGGTGCTACGCTCAGCATTTAGGTGCCAGATTCAGAAAAAAAAGAGTAAGGCGTACCGATGAATAGGTGCCAGAAACAGCTAATTAAGGTCATTTTCCATGATTGGTACTGGTATCCACCAAATAGGTGCTGAGGACCAATTTTGGGGCGAATCAGCTTTTAGGTGCCAGAAATAGCTTTTCTGGGACGCAATTAAATGGCGTCCAATATTTATTCCAGCTGATGGTCCATTAAGACAATTTCTTAATAAGTCTAGCGGTAATTTCGGCCCGACCACCCAGCTCCCACCCATTGACTCCATGGACTCACCAGCCGTCCGCTCTTGCGGCAGAGTGCGGCGAACTTGAGCCGGGTCCTCATGTCGAGGTGGGGCGGCAGAACCAGCGAGCGCACGTGCAGGATGCGCTGCCAGTCCTCCACAGCCGCCGTGCAGCCCTGGACGGAATGGCATAACAATTAGTCAGGTAACGTCTCAGGTCGGGCAAAGGTGCAACAGCATTACACAATGCGTTTAACAGTGCTGCAGCTGAGGATATTATGAAAGTACGCTAATTCATTCACTCTCTAACCATTCCACCCCCTTACTAATTACTCTCAGCATGAGTTAGCGTTCGTTCATCGTCCGGCTAGCAGCCAATGTCCACACTCACTCTCTAACCCCACACAATCCGCAGGCTCTCACTCTCTCACCCACCCCACGGCCGTCTCTCACTCTCTCACCTGCAGCCGGTCCCACCACATGGTCTGAATGGCTGAGCGGCGCTCCTTGACCAGTTTGAAGGTGATGATCTCCTCCAGCTCGGACAGCATCTGGGCGCTGACCAGGGTACCGTAGGCGCGCTGGTAGCTCTCGCCCACCATGGCCGTTAGCTCCGTGTCTAGCAGGTCTCGAGCCGTGTCGATCCACTGCGGGGGGGAGGGGTGTTAAGTACGGGGTATAATGGTATAGACGTCAGCTCCGTGTCCAGCAGGTCCCGAGCCGTGTCGATCCCTTGCAGAGGAGGGAGGGGTGTTAAGTACGGTACCTAGTATGGTAGTGCAGTACCGTTGCAATCAAAGAAAGGGGGATGAAGGAAGGTCCAGTTGAAACCGTAAGTTCACACGCATGAAACAGAAAGGCACGAGCCCCGACAAATAATGACTGGGTATCACCGACAATCAATGATTTTAAGAGTTCATCAGTCCCGGCTGTCCCGTCCGTCTAAATGGTCAGACACTCCACCTCGCCCTATTCCACTGTGGTCGACCCATATTCTGTGCGCACCTGTTTGGCCTCCTCATACTGTTCCTTCTTGATGGCCAGCACGGCCCGGTGGAAGGCGCCCTCCTGTGTCTCGCGCGGGATGGCCTGCACGTACGGCTCCATGGTCTGCCAGGTGGCCGTGGCCAGTGACGAGACGGCCGCCATGCGCGCCATGTTCTGGCGCACCTCCAGCGGCGCCTGAGGCCACACCGAGGCCGCCACGCCGGATAGCTGGTCCCTGGGGAAAAGGAGAGGGAGAGGTCAGAGTGGGACTTCGAGAACAAGCTTTAAAGCAGCTCCATATTCACGCAGCTGGACATTGATTCGATACGACAGACAACAAGACAATCGTTCCATCTGAAAATTGTACTCCAACAGTCATGGCTCATAACAACTTCGACCTTAGCCCCAACTCTATTTTCCCTCCCCCTGTCCTAAGTCCGCCGCTCACCATTGCCCGAGCGCCTCCATACAGCGCATCTGTCCAAGCCTGGCTCCACCTCCCCTTGCGTCCTTCCTCAGTCCGCTGTCAGCTGTCAGCTGTCTGACTACTCACCACTGTCCGAGCGCCTCCATACAGCACATCTGTCCGAGCCCTCCCTCCCCCCCCCCCCACGCCCGCTGTCCGCTGTCTGACTACTCACCACTGTCCGAGCGCCTCCATACAGCGCATCTGTCCGAGCCGCAGGCTGAAGTCGCAGTCTGCCGGCCGGTCGTCCTCGGCCGGCTCAGCCAGTTTGGCCGAGTACGCGTCTAGCGCCGACTGCCAGTCGTGCAGCTTCTCGTGCCAGCGCTCCTGCACCGCCACAGACTTGGTGTGGTACTTGCGCGCAAACTCCAGCAGACCTGGCGGACAGCGGGAGACGGGAGAGGTCAGCGCGTCATAATATACGACGGCACTTGAAGGCGACGCTTCCAAAACGTTTTTACATTCACGGAAGTCACTCAAACACAACGGATATTTTGCCATTCCCATTGCCTTTATTTGAAACGCTCACAAATTCGAGAATCCATGCCATTATTACTTCTTTTGTCCGTCATAAGCAAACAAGAATTTCTTTGGTCTTTAATGCTACCCACCATCATCAAAATCCCCCCCCCCCCCCCAGCCGCACTCTGCTCCCTCCCTACATCGCCCGTCGCGCGTCTCTCACCCTGAGCGGCCTCCTTTTGCTGCAGTTTGTTGTTGACCGAGATGAGCGTCTCGATCACCTGCGTGGTGGCGCCCTTGTGGAACTCCTCCTCCTTGTAGTGGAGTGCCTTGGCGTAGGCGCGGCACCGGAGCGCCTGCTCGCCCAGCAGTCGGCTCTCGATACGCAGCGACTCCTGGCGACGGAAGGATGTGAACGGTCAAATACGCCAGTGATGCACGGATAGCACTAAAGCTGAGCACTCTACAGAAGAAAGTCCACGCTTTTGCGGAAGCACAGACTCCCAGAGCCGCACGCCCCCGCCCAACTCACGATGTCCCAGTAACAGCCCCGTCCCTCTTAACTCACGATGTCGCAGTGTTCCATGAACTCTGCCAGATTGAGCAGCGTCTGCGTGATCTCGGGTATCTCCTGTGAGCGCAGCGCCAGCCGAACGGCGTCCAGCAGCTCGCCCTGGTGGTCCTTATCCAGCTCGGACCAGCACGAGACGAACGCCGCGTTAAACAGGTCCCGGGACAGCTGCGGGTACGACTGGGCCAGCGCGCAGCACGACCTGACGGGGGGAGAGGGGGGCATGTCACATTAAGTTGAGAGAGTACCACCGACTAGGTCAGCGGCCGTGAGCGGAACGGGTTAGAATAGGCGTCGGCAACGGAAAACACCGTTACTAAAGGCAATTGAAAAATTTGATAATCTTTATTACACGTCCACAAAAAAGAGATTAAAACGTACGCTAGCTTGCGATCATAAACGTTAATCTAATGGCAACTGTTTGCTCCAGATCCATTGAACAGAGTACCACCACTTTGTTAGTTGTTACTACCCAATGATGAGCGCTGCACAAATAAATTTCACAGACCTAGCACGAGCGGTGGCGATGGGCCGTCACCTGACATTGCGCGGCGCCTCACCTGAGCGCGTGCGAGGGCGACTCTTTGAGTACGGCGATGCTGATGCGCCTCAGCCACTCGGACCAGTCGTCCTTGCTCACGCGCCGGGAGGCCATCCACGCCTGCTTCAGGTTGTTGACGGAAACGGAGAGCTGTCGGCAGCGGCAGACACCGAGTCACGGTTAGAGAGTGATGCTGGTAGGGTCACGACTCACGGCTGTTTGTAGGGGTCTCAGGGCGTGTCTCCAGAGGCCGGGTCACAGGTCGTACATAGCGCACACTGTTCGGCCGATACCAAAGAAGGCAAGGGTGTTGGGTTACAGAATGACCAAATACACGTCACAGTCACAGATCACAGTCATGCTCCCGTCAAGGCAGCGGTAACAAATCACACATCAGTCACAAGTCACATTACACGTCATGTGAGTGCCGTCCCCCGTCGAGTGCCCACCTTTTTGGATGGTGCCGGCTCGGCGGTCTCCGGCTGCACGAATCCCGGCTGGTAGACACAGCTCGGACTGTCCTCCTCCATCGCTGACGTCTGGAGACAAACACATAGACACAGACGGGTCAGCGGGGTCGAGCGGGTCAGGAAGTTGGATTTCTGGGGGTCAGGATAGGTAAACAACACAGATTGTAAGACCGATGTCAAGCCGATGACAACAATGCGGGGCTACATTACATCAATATCACGAATTATCACAGCATGTGTGATATTTACCGACGCAGGAGATTCTGAACATATTGATCATAAGTAAAATAATGACAAAGAGCCTTTGACGCACACAAACGAAAGCCCATCCCACCATGCAAGGTTAACCTCAAAATCCGTCGAGCTGCAGCTGCAGTCCGTACACCCGCAGACGTCCCTCTTCTACGGGTGTGACGGAACGGGACTGGCACGGAGACCTTCCGCTCCCCGTTCTATCTTCCCCCCTGGCTGTAACAGCAGGGAGTCAACGTACCAGTACGTGCGTGCTGATGAGCTGGTCGTACTCGACGTTCTGGATGCCGTGCTTGAGCAGCACCTTGTTCACCGTGGGCATGAAGAGGGCGTAGCGGCGACGTAGCTGCTGTACCAGCGCGCACAGAGTGTCCATGGCCGGCGAGCGGAGCGAGGGACACGTGTCCAGACACCGGATCTAGAGAGGGAGGGGATTGGGTCAGTATCCACACCCCGTGTCCATGGCCGGCGAGCGGAGCGAGGGACACGTGTCCTGACAGCGGATCCAATAGAGAGCGAGGGGGAGAAGTGTCAGTCAGTGCAGTCACGTGCAGACAGCGGATTTGACCGACATAATCGCCAGAATCGCCAGTTCAGCCCATGAATCACTACCCACAAGCAGACGGTCCACTACCCACTACCCACCAGCGGACGGTCCACTACCCACTACCCACCAGCGGGTGCATGATGCGCCCGACGTATTCGGTGAGGTCGAGCTTGGTGGCCAGGTCGGCGACGGTGACGAGCGCCTCCTGGCAGACGGGCAGCGGCGCGTCCTTGGGGTCGAACAGGCGCACCATGGGCGGCAGTACCAGGTGCAGGTGGTCGTCCAGGTTGCGGCCCACCTTCCGCAGCGCCGACAGCAGCTGCAGCAGCGACGGCGGTCACAGTTCGTCATTCAGGGCTGCTGGGACTGCGGCGGGGGCACTCCTGGCCATCTGTTCATGGGTGACGGACTAGGAGGAAAAATCGCGGCAGGGAACACTGGGCCGCTCGGTGGAGGTTGGGTGAGTTTGGAGAGTAAAGAAGGGACTGCAGCTCTACGTCGTGTAACATGGTCGGCTACGGATCGAGCTCGTGAGAAAAAAAGGGCGTCTAAGCCGCGGACTGGTCCAAACCAAATTGTAAAAAATATGCGTCATACATATTCAGAGTCCATCCCACTACATAGTGACGTCCCTTCTCCTCTCTGCCAGTGGCGCCCCTTCCCCTCTCTGCAGGCAATACACACCCTCCTCGCCCCCTACCTTGAGTGTGACGACGCGTCCTCGGCTTGTGTCGTGGTACAGCACCCGCAGCGTGTTGGGGATCAGCTGCGGCATATACGTCTTGAACTCAGATCCGAGCGCGGCGGCAATGTGCTCCACCAGGGCGATCAGGGTGGGCTGTAGCGGCGAGTCCAGCTGCCAAAACTCTCGGATCACCAGGAATATGTCGGGCAACGAGGGCCGGATGTGCTGGCGCACCACGTCGATCAGCGTGGCCAGCTGCTGGAAGAGGAACTCGCGGAAGGGCGCGTCGGCCGTGCGGATCACCAGCAGGAGGCAGGGCATCACCTGTGACAGGTACGAGACGCACTTGGTGCCCAGCGACTGCACGATGAACGAGATCGCCTGTAACAGACGCGCGGAGCGGCAGGCGGTCAGACGGAGCGGTGGGAGGCGGCGGCCGGCTCTCGGCCAAACGGGAGAGTGACGCTGCCATATTATGGGCTATATGAAGGGGATGGTCACAAACATACCAACTGCCTGTCATGGGTCGAATTCCGTCGAATTCCGGTACCACGTCTTATACCCACAGTAGAAGTGAGTGTGGGCGCATGAATCTGAATTAAAAGGCCATACCTGGACCACCGTCGGGGTATGGTGTGTGTTGGTGTCGGTATGGTATGGTGTGGGTCATAGACCTTTACATACCAAGTATTGGTATGTAGAGGTCTATGTGTGGGTGTATAATTGTCATACCTGGACCACCATGGTGTGGTACTGGGAGAGCGCCGGGTCGGGGTATGTGTGGGTGGGTGTGTATGGTGTTAGTATCCGTACCTGGACCACCATGGTGTGGTACTGGGAGAGCGCCGGGTCGGGGTATGGTGTGGGTACTGTGTGTGTATGGTGTTAGTATCCGTACCTGGACCACCATGGTGTGATACTGGGAGAGCGCCGGGTCGGGGTATGGTGTGGGTGTGTGTGTGTATGGTGTTAGTATCCGTACCTGGACCACCATGGTGTGATACTGGGAGAGCGCCGGGTCGCGAATGATCCTCATGAGCGTTCCGAAGGCCACGGCCGGGTAGAACTCGTCCATCGAGTGCTGCGACATGTTCACCAGCCGCACGCTGCTGTTGGCGTCCGCTGCGAACACGGAGGGCTCAGTTGGACAGACAGACACCAGGCGGTCTAAATGACAACAGCCCGAGGATGGTAGAACAGAGACTGCCACAAAACATACGCCAACTAGTGGGCTCCAAGGTTGACGCAGTTACCACCGCTCTACCCCTACCCAACATGTTGGTAGTGTCCTCCTCTCACCCAGTGTATCGGTGGTGTCCCGTGTCAGTTCTGTCAGATGGTGTCAGTGTCGGTAACCCCCCTCTCTCACCCAGTGTATCGGTGGTGTCCCGTGTCATCTGTCAGATGGTGTAAGTGTCGGTAGTGTCCCTCTCCCTCTCCCCCTCTCTCTCTCTCTCTCTCTCTCTCTCTCTCTCTCTCTCTCTCTCTCTCTCTCTCTCTCTCTCTCTCTCTCTCTCTCTCTCTCTCTCTCTCTCTCTCTCTCTCTCTCTCTCTCTCTGTCTCTGTCTCTGTCTCTGTCTCTCTCTCTCTCTCTCTCTGTCTCTCTCTCTCTCTGTCTCTGTCTCTCTCTGTCTCTGTCTCTGTCTCTCTCTCTCTGTCTCTCTCGTCTCTGTCTCTGTCTCTGTCTCTCTCTGTCTCTGTCTCTGTCTCTCTCTGTCTCTGTCTCTCTGTCTCTCTCTCTGTCTCTGTCTCTCTGTCTCTCTGTCTCTCTGTCTCTCTGTCTCTCTGTCTCTCTGTCTCTCTGTCTCTCTGTCTCTCTGTCTCTCTGTCTCTCTGTCTCTCTGTCTCTCTGTCTCTCTGTCTCTCTGTCTCTCTCTCTCTCTCTCTCTCTCTCTCTCTCTCTCTCTCTCTCTCTCTCTCTCTCTCTCTCTCTCTCTCTCTCTCTCTCTCTCTCTCTCTCTCTCTCTCTCTCTCTCTCTCTCTCTCTCTCTCTCTCTCTCTCTCTCTCTCTCTCTCTCTTACCCAGTGTATCGGTGGTGTCCGGGTCGGGGATCACCAGACACTCCTCGTTCGACTCCTGGTTGAGTGTCCTCTTTCGGTAGGGGTCTAGAGCGCCCAGCAGACCCAGCACACGAATCGTCTCACGACTGGAACACGGACCGAGCGACCGTCAGACACATGACGGAAGGCGACGGAGAGCCAGCAGCACAATAGGAGGGACAATAGCGGCGTGAAAATAGCAAAGGGGTCTCGACATGCTGTAAACGGTACAGCTGTAGCATCAGGATTTGACGTAACTCGTAGGTTAAGCGTCACAAGTCAACTGAAACCGCACTAAAGAATGCGAATCACAGCAATTCAGAACTCCAGTAACTACGCCTCCTGTTCCTAATTTCCTCCTACTTTTGCTGTTTCTACTTTATAACATCATTTTACGATTATTCGCAGCTAAATGACCACGTCTCCCCCTCCACGGCCTGACCGTTCCGGTCCGCCACTGACCGTATGGTGGGCTGCTGCTCGGTCTTGAGGAAGCCGATGAGTACGTCGAGCAGCTGCGGGTACTGCTGGTAGGCGCTGCTGGTCGGCCCGCTGGGGTCCGCGCGCGCCTGTACCAGGTTGGCCAGCGTGTACAGCACCGCCTCCCGCTTGGCCAGCGAGCTGTTGTCGGCCAGGATTGCCAACAGCAGCGGGAACAGCTCGTTCACCCAGTGGCCCATCTCCGGACCGCTCACCTGATGGGGAGGAGGGCAGGGGCGGGCCGAGGGTCAGCGAGGGAGGGGCGGTGGGGTGCGGGCGGTCTGACGAGACGCAACAGATGGCAGGCCGCGACGGCCACACATCCCTCCTCCCCCCCCCCAAAAAAAATGTCAGACGAGAAATGTCTAGAGCAGCATGTCAACCTACTAAAACTTTTATCCCGGGCTATATCTACGCACTTTCTTCCGGCCTCACGTGCCCCAGAGCTCTCTACTCGTGCCTCTCTCCTAGTCATACTCACGTGCGCCAGATCTCCGACGGCGTACAGGATGCTGCTGACCACGGCCGCGTTCGGCTCGTTCTCCCTCAGGCGCTGACACAGCACCTTCATGATGGGCCGCAGGTAGGGGCGCGTCAGCCGCGGCGACGACGAGACCAGGTGGCCGAGCAGGCGCGCCGACTGCTCACGGTTCCTGGCCAGACCGCTGTGCTCCAGCTCCGTCAGAATCTGGATCAGCGTCTTGCGCAGGCTGGGCATCACGTAGGCTGGGTTCATGGCGCTCAGCCGGCCGATGATGCAGAGCACCATCTCGCGGATCTCAAACACCTGGTCGTTGAGCGAGACGAACAGGGCGTTGAGGCTCTCGGCCTGCGCCAGGTGGTTGTCGAAGCGCTCCTCCAGCGACCAGAAGACGGTCAGACGGATGTCGGGGTCGGTGTCGGTGATGCCGGCCGCCAGCAGCTTGCTGATGACGTCGCTGACCGATTTCTGCAGCGTCGAGCTGCGCCCAGTGACGCCGAGCAGCGAGGGCGTCAGCAGGTGCGAGGTGGTGCGGACGGCCTCCAGACGCACCTGGGCGTCCTCTGAGGTCAGGTAGTTGTCGGCGCAGTACTGGATGAACAGCATCAGCGAACGGTCTGCCGGAACAAAAGGCCGTCAGACTCGCTGAATGTTCACGAGAAATACCACCACATAGTCTGCGAAAGTCTGCAGCGTTTAATCACTTAGCGCCAAGGAAGCCGGGAAGCAAGAATCACGAAAGCAAGCCGGTCCCGTAGCTCAGTCGGTTGCCGGTCTCGTAACTCAGTCGGTAGAGCGTTGGACTCCGCGTGGTGAGAGCACGCGTTCCCGGTTACAACAGTCCGGGTTCGAAGCGCGACGGGCGCTTGACGTTTATGGGCCTCCTGACTGGTATGGTTGCGGTCGGTGGCAGGCCGCAGCCAGGCGAAGTCAGTGAGGGGACCGGCCGTGCGCGGCGATGTGCGCACGTTAAACTTTGGACTCTACATTCTGCCATAGAACCGGAATTGCGCGATCGGAGGGTAGAGGGCAGGGTCACCGCAATAAGCTTCGCTTAGCGGGGGCTCTGTCCTTGCAAATCCTTCCAATCAAAATGTTCGGACTAAAAAAAATATCAGATTGCAAAGATTGTCAAAAGGCTTCATGTCATCTCCACATCCACCCAGCTGCTAGCTCCCCGCGGATCCCCTCCAACCACTCTTTATCGACTCCGGCCCCCACTCACTGAGGCCCCCACTAAGACCCCACGCACTGTCGTACCCATAGTGTCATTACGGGCCGGCTCTACTTACTGTCGTACTCGTAGTGTGAGAGCGTCCTCACGGGCCGACCCGCAGGCCCCACTAACTGTCGTACTCGCAATACCCCCACGGGCCGATCACCAGGTTACTCACTGTCGTACTCGTAGTGTGACAGCGTCCTCATGGCCAGCACGGTGTTGATGACGGTCAGCCGGTCGGTGGCGGGTCGCGCCAGGGGCCCGGCCGGCGGCGGCCGGTGGCGCAGCACGAGCGGACGCACCCCCAGCCGCGCCGACAGCACCGTCATCAGACCCTCGCCGGCCTTCTGGCGCAGCTCCGGGATCTGCGTGGCCACCTCCTGTTCAGGGGGGGGGGGGGGGGGCAGAGCGGTGGTGGGGTGGTCGGTATAGTAGCGAACAAGAGCGGCGGTGAGATGGCCGGTACAGTAGCGAACACGAGCGGCGGTGAGATGGCCGGTACAGTAGCGAACAGAGTTCTTGAGAAAGAAGGGCGTGGTATTAGTCGAATGAAAAAAAATGACACCTAACTTGAAACGTATTGTTAAAGCTTTTCACAAAATGCGCGATCGCTAAGCATGATATCTGAAAGAAATGTCAATGACGCGGCGCGCACATGCGCCTATCATCCAGCGCAGGCCCCCTAGTACCCTATAGTCTCGTGTCCTGCGCAGGGTCTCAGCCCCCCGGCCGACACTGGCCGTGCCACCCCACCACTCACCTGAAGCGCGTGTGTCAGCGCCGGCGTGAGCGACGAGGCCAGCATGTGTCCTAGCAGCTCGTCCATGTCAGCCCGGAGCTCTGCTCGTCCGGCGCGCGCCAGCAGCCAGATACAGACGTACACCGCCTGATCCGTCTGTACCGGCGCGCCGCGCTTCTTCAGAGAACCGTCCTGGGGACGGAGCGGGAGGGGGGGGGGGCAAATAGTGTGGAGAGAATGGAAGGCCGTAGTGTGTTCATATCTTGGACGTGACTTAACAACGGAACCATTATCCCTCTGTTCACCGTCTATGTACAGAAGTTTATGATCGAACAGCTTACAATGATCTTGGCATGGAGTAGGTTAGGGGAGGTTAGGGGCTAGAAGAGGGATGCTGTTTGTTTGTTTGTTTGTTTATTAGGGTTTACGGGCGCGTCGACAGCGAAGAAGAGGGATGCTGACAATTCCGAAAACAGTCGATAACGCATCAAGAGTTACTTGTTCCCATTTCAACTGCTCAGTTGCTAAGATCACCTCAGTAATCACAAGCAATTCATTCATAACGCTGCCATGGTAAAGTTAGCTCAGTTACTAGTTTGACAAAGTACGTAAAAAAAGATAGAATAAAATCACAGGAGGAAGACACCAGCAATGGGACACACGAGAATTCCACGCTAGTCTCGGCAGCCCACCTTGGGCATGATGTGCGTCTTGATGGGCTCCAGCACGCTGCCCACGTATTTGGTGATGTGCTGTCGGACAGCGGCGGCCAGGAAGCCCAGACACAGGAAGGCCGACGACTTGGCGGCGTCCTTTCGCTGCAGCCACCACTGGATGTACAGCACCGCCTTGGACATGTACCTGGCGATGCGGCAGCCGCGGGGGTCAGCGGGACAGAGAGCTAGGGCAGGGGAGGGAGCAGCTCAGCAACAGGGAGAAAAAAGTGAACGGCGAATGGAGGCCCACCGCCAAGTCAGTGAGGAGACCAGCCTTGTGGATGACTCCACTTAAGGTCATTTTACGGCTCTGCCCGCCACTCACCGTCCACGGCCCCGCCGGTACAAACTCACTTGCTGCAGAACCGGTCGGCCTGTCGAGGGCGGCCCACCACTCACCATTACCAGCCCTACCACTAGTACTCACTTGCTGCAGAACCGGTCCCTGTCGAGGGCGGCCTCTGCTATAGACCCTAGCCCCGCCGGTACAAACTCACTTGCTGCATAACCGGTCGGCCTGTCGAGGGCGGCCCACCACTCACCGTTACCAGCCCTACCACAAGTACTCACTTGCTGCAGAACCGGTCGGCCTGTCGAGGGCGGCCCACCACTCACCATTACCAGCTCTACAATAAACACTCACTTGCTGCAGAACCGGTCCCTGTCACACTCTGTTCCCCACCTACCATCTCAGTCCCACAATAAACTTACTTGCTGCAGAACCGGTCGGCCTGTCGAGGGCGGACCGCCACCCACCGTTCCCAGGCCCCAGCCCAACAATAAACTCACTTGCTGCAGAACCGGTCCCTGTCGAGAGCAGCCAGCCGCGGCAGCATGGACAGGATCACCTGCTGCACGTACGGACTCTTGTTGTACATGTTAGACGTCACCTGTGACGGAGGAGCGGCATCACAAACACGAACCACGCAACACCGTCCAACCACACAGGGGCCGATTGCCACCCAAACGAGTTCACCAAAAAAATAAACGACGACACATCGCAACTTTTAGAGACGGTGATCAAACCGCTCAGTAAATATTGTCAACGCTCGTAACAGACAAAGAAAAACACACAGACACTTATGACAGCAGCCTGATGACGCCTAGCCACTCCAGAACTGTGACTGAGCTCCGTCCGCCCCGGCCGGCCGACTCACGTGGTGGCAGATGGCCGCGTATTTGCTGGTGAGCAGCGCGCGGCACGTGAGACTGGCGTAGAGCGGCTGGCCGCCGCCGCCGGCCGGCGCGCCGCTCAGCAGGTAGCTCGGACTGAAGCTCGGCTTCTGCGTCAGTCGCATCAGCATGGCCTTGTAGCGTCGCTGCCGCGGCGCCTGCTGCTGCGGGGCCGGGGACGGGGCCTGCTGCATCGGCTGTAGGTGCTGGTGGTGGTGCGCCGGCTGCCGGCAGGGGCAACGGGGGATAGTCATTTTTACAGGTAACAAGACAAAGAGACAGACACCGGGAAATAACCACGACCAGTCCTAACTAACCAGCATTAATGCTCCCTCTCCCCTCTCACCCGTGCGGCTCCATCTGTGTGCTGCAGCGCCACGGCCTCGAGCTGCTGCTGCTCAGTCTCCCAGTCCACGTTGGAGCAGCGCAGCAGCTCGTTGAGCACCAGCAGCGAGCCGTGGATGCGGTCCTCGCGCGTCAGGCCGCGCAGCGACTCGTCCGTGAAGCCCAGCTCGAGCTCGTCGTAACACTGCTGGTACCTGCCGGCGGAGCGGCGGGTGTCAGCCAGACAGTGGGCGCCGACCAGCAGCATCCTCCAGTGCAGGACTCACACTCCGCTCACTCGTTCGTCGCCCCAAAAGGTGTTTTACTGGTATGTTAAATATAACTTGAGACATGACATTAGTGGCGGTACCATGGCGTATTGTATCCAGGAAGGTACACGCGCAGCGGTTCTCATTTACCCTGCACTCACCATTGCGGCTTTTGCGACTCCTTGCCCTCGCGCTGTGCGGTGACCTGCAGCGCGGCACGGATGGCACCGACGGCGCCCTCGCGGATACTCGGCTTGGGATCGCGCACCGCGCAGAATATGATGTCGAAGAACGGCCCCACCTGCTGGAAGAAGTAGGTGGGGACCGAGGCAGCCAGCTCCCGCAGCAGAATCACCTGTCGGCAGACGGGGACGTCAGAGGGAGGTCACATCGTGGTCAGCTTAGGGGTGGTCAGCGAGAGGGGTCTCGAGAAACGATGATGATGTTTGACAACAACATTTGATTTGTCGTTTATCGTTGCATCTAGGTAGTTATGCCAAAATAGGCAGTAACCACTTCTTGGCACCAAAACAACGACAGACGAGACATTTTCCTCCCCTCCAGTCACCTCCCTCCCTCTCCGTCATCCTCTCTCCCTCCCCCCCCCCCCCACACACACACACACTCACCGCTGACTGGCGCCGGTTCTCGTTTCTGTCCGCTCCCAGCCACTCGATGGCCCGTTTCACCTCGAACTCGACATACTCGGCCGAGTTGAGGCCGGAGCTGATGGCCAGCCGCGCCACCGCCTTGGCCGTCAGTTCGATGACACCCGTGTCGGCGCCCGGCAGCAGGTTGCGCAGCAGGTTCGCAGAGCGCGTGATGCGCGTCGTGCTGTTACCCACGTCCACGCTGATGAGACTCACTGCCCGCGCGCGCGTAGGGTGGGGAACGGGTCGGTCAGTTGGTCACTGGGGACAATCAGAACACCGCGCCTGCCGCTCAGTGGTCACAGAGGCTAGAGAGACGACGTCCCATACAGGTAACCGCAACAGGCAACACTTCGTAAATAGTTGAAACTACGAGTCTTCCTACAAGGCAGTTCAAATTATCAGCAACTCCCTAAAAACAGAAGACATGTCAGCCTTCCCCGCGACCACTCCGGCCGGGGCTGACGCAGCAGGGCGCCGGCGACCCACCGATGGCCAGGATGGCGCCCTTCTTGTCGTTGATGTCGGCGCTGGAGGCCAGGTTGAAGATCTGGTGGTTGAACTCGTCCATGAAGGCCTGCAGCTCGGCCGGCGGCACCTCCAGCAGCTCCGTGCTGACATAGCGGTACAGCTCCTGTGTGGGCAGGGAGGGGGGGGGGGGTCAGGGGGAGTCAGGGGAGTCAGGGGCACCTCCAGCAGCTCTGTGCTGACATGGCGGTACAGCTCCTGTGTGTGTGTGTGGGGGGGGGGGGGTCAGGGGACCAGGTCTTGGGTAGCTGCCTCTGGGGTCCAATATCGTTCATAAATAATGGTCAAATGACATACCTAGAGCTTCACAGTGACCTCAAAATCACATTCACTTGATGTATCATCAGGATTGGTGTCCATTGCCCTCATTCAAAAGCCAGCACAAAATCAGCCAGATTCGTTCAGCAACGATAAAGATACTATAAACTAAATTAAAAGAGGGGAAGCAAGAAAATATCTCCAGTCTAGCAGGTGGGGACGCGTCCCCTCCACCAATGCACGGGCCGAAACCCGGCTACTTACATGGACAGTCTTGGATTTCTCCTCGTCAGACTTGGAGCGAAGTCCATTGATGTATGACTGGACTATGGATATTGGCTTGGAAGCCATCTTGCGGTCAGTGAGTAGTCACAGACTTGGGCTGTATCATACCATGCCTTGAAGCTCCACTAATGTTACTGCATCATAAGTCAGCTATCTGAAATGAAACACAATTCATCTGACGTCTTCCTCAAACAAGGCGGCTGAACAGTACAAGTCAAAAAAGTCAAATCAAAACAGTACAAGTCAAAACTTCGGAGCCGGAGTCGGAGTCACCCAGCGTCGTGGCAACGAGCTAGAAGTCGGAGTTGGGGTCATCCAAGCTGCCTCGACTCCGACTCAGAGAATGTGCATTCGAATACCTATGTGCCATGGCTTTCCCATGACGTTGATAATTATTTAACCCGCGCCCTGCGGGGGGGGGGGGTTGAAACTCCCTTCCCCTATGGTTTTTCGAACACCTTATCGTACATCAATTCTACACATGTTGTTAAACTTTAAGACCAAGGTCATTCAAGGTCACTAGGTCACTTCACATAACCTCACCTCATAAAAAGTTAAAATGTCTGCCATAGCTACACCAACTGACCGATTGCTGTGAAACTTTCAGCGATTGATAAGAACAACAGTATGTACAAAATGTATACCTATCTCGGAATTTTGATATCGGTGACCTAAGGTCAGGTCAATTTCGCGACCTCCCAATTGTAGGTCCCAATCGATAAGGCTGGTACGGTATCGAGGCTGATTGGTTTGGTGCCTGGCTGCGCGGCCGCACGCAGTCGCTGCGGGGCGGTAGCGGTGTCCTTCCTGTGACCCACGGCGTGATCCAAGGCTCCATTATGGCCTGGCCCTGTTTTTGGTCTTTACCGATGACCTGACGCAGCACATGCCGCATAGAAAGATCACGTTGTATGCCGACGACGTCCAGTTTCTTGACTCTGAACTTCCTCGTAACATATCGGACATCAAAATTCGGATCGAGAGCAAATTAGCGGTAGCAAGTAACTGGTTTACACAAAATAGCGTCAAAATCCACACTGTCAAAACGGTTCTCCTTAAATCGAGACGCCTTGCCACGGTCTCACAATTCTGTCACTTTCGGCAATGCTCAAACCAAACCGTCCTTCAGCGTCAGGGACTCAGGATACTGGGGGTCAATGTCGATTCGTACCTCTCGTGGGAGCCACACGTATCGACCATTGTGCGACGGTGTTACTGTGCGCTCATAGGGCTCGCCAGGACGAGATGCCGTCTCCCATCTGAAACTAAGCGACTGCTTGTTGAGGCGCTGGTGTTCCCTCATGAGTGGTATTGCTGGTCTGTCTGGGGAGGCTGCACCGCAACACAAAAGCGTCGCGTTCAGAGGGTCATGAACTTTGCCGCACGTGTTGTCACTAATGCACGGTACCGCGATCGAGTGACGCCTCTGCTGAGTGAGCTGCGATGGCTGCGAGAGGACGACATGATCTGCGAGCGCGATGCAATGGTGGTCTGAAGCATCCTGTCAGCCGAGCATGTTGCAGAGGAGCTTCAAAGGAATGTCGTTCGCCGTTCCGATGTATCAAACCGCGTCACTCGGACATGCGCTGACGACCTGCTAGTTGCCGGAAGTTGGAACTGAGCTCAGTCGCCGCAAGTTGGAACTGAACTCAGTCACCGCTCCTTCCTGTTTTGGGCCATTTAGACATGGAAAAGCCGGCGAAGGTTGAAACTTCAAAGTCGAAAGGTGCCTATCAGGCAGCTTAGTCAGTAGTCACCACTTGGGGCCTTCAAATAAACACATGAAGGCCAGCTGCAGAATGTATGCAGCAGAATGAATGAGACCAGCAGAATGCAGAGTGACCACAGAATCGGTTTCCGGGGTCAGCATCATAGGGAACGAAGAATGCACCATGAATAATCAAATAACCACCAAGTATAAAGATCTGCCGTCGGGAGGAAAAAAGCTGTATCTGGGGCACTGTTTTTTCATGCGAGTTACGACTTTTTTCCTCCCGACGTCAGAGATAGACACAGCAGTAGACAGTATATGATGTGCAAGCCTTGGAGTGTTATCTTCACAGCATTCCTTTCATTTCTAACAGCGATGCCATCTTTTCAGATGTGCCAGATGGAATGTACAATAACTAATTAGCAAGTGAAGAATTATGGTAATGAGGAATCTTGCTCAATTACTGGTTAGCTTGGCCTATGGACATATGTAGAGTGACTTACTGAGTCACATTGATCACACTTGACCGAGCTTTCGCCTAGATGTCATTGACTAAGGATCCCATAAACCATGCACCATAGAAATACATGTGAGGCAGCATTACAAAGATATCACAGACAGAAGATATCATCTGAAACATTCATAGAATCCAAGTTTTGAGGTAATTTGGCAGGCCAAGATCAGGTTAAATGTCACAATTATATATATATATATATATATATATATATATATATATATATATATATATATATATATATATATATATATATATATATATATATATATATATATATATATATATATATATATATATATATATATATATATATATATATATATATATATATATATATATATATATATATATATATATATATATATATATTTATATATATATATATATATATATATATATATATATATATATATATATATATATATATTTATATATTTATATATATATATATCCTCATTAGCCTTTAGCTGTGTAAATGCATTATCAATGTTAGAAAACCCAATTCAAATGTCTAACTGACTAGGCATCGAAAATGATTGGTGAAATTATCCCGCATGACCAAGTCCAAAAGTGAAAGTCAGGTCACAAATGATCAAATTCAGAAACTGAATAAAAAAACAATTTGACAATCTTATTTATATAAATTGGGAACTGAACCATTAAGGTTCAAGACTAAGTCTTCAAACTCGCATTACAGATCACCATTACATGATCTTTCCCTCACACACAATGCACAGATGTCAGAACATGTTTTTCACTGTTAGATGCATTATGATTAGTTCCTGCTTGGAATGCCCTACCCATGGTGGCAGTATGTGCTCCTATTCCCTTTCTTAGTTCAGGGAGATCCTACACAACGTCTGTCATAGCTTGAACACAGGCATATAACACATTTGATTTCTCATTCTGCATGGTATGCTTGCATTTTCTCAAATAAGCTTGGTTTTATTGTAGGTTTAGGTGTATGGTGCACATGTTTTTCGCATCTAACTCAATCTAACTCCTTCATTTCTTGCATTCCAAATTTAAGAATGTTTTGACACTTAGGTAATCAAAAGAAGTAACAGTTTTTAAAAAATATATCACATATAATATTTAAATAAACATACTATATCTAAAATTATTAAAAACATATTCGGCAATATATTGAACCTTATTATGATGCTACGGTTTCTTATTATCATTTTATTTACAATGAGCCTCAAAAAAGCGCTTGCCATTATGAACTCAAACTTGAACTGCCATGAGTCTGTTGCACGAAAAGGCAAAAAAACGACTTATCAACTGATAATATCTGACACCACACTGCACAGTGCGCGCAATAACAACAACAATAATAATAATAATGATAATAATAATACAAATAAACAATAATAATGATAAAAATAATATCACCGCCGCGCCGCTCTCCTCCATCTCAAAACACACCGTATAAAAGAGGTAGTGTTCAAGCTTTGAAGTACTGAGCTGTTGTCATGACAACTGTGGAACATATAATGTTGGTTAAAGCGTCGGAAAGTGTTTGTGGAGCAGCTGCCTTCGCTTTTGAACACAGTCCTTTAGCGTCAGTTTGTGCAGCACGTCATATTTGAAACGTAATTTATGAGGACCCAAAACTTCTCAGTTGATTTCTTTCAACAGAAGTGTTTTGCAATGATTTGCAATGTTTTTTGGACTGAATTGCTAGCTCAATAAATCTTCTTTTGAGAAAAAGTATTTAAAACAAGACGACAAAGGACTATAACTAAAAACAGACGGCGGAGAAATGGTCTTTCGAAAACCCGCAGCTAAATGCATTGAACATTAAAGGGACCCTCCCACCTTCAAAAAAGTTGATGAATTGGCATGAAAGTGATGTCGCTCGGTTCAGAAAGAGCAAAAATGAATATCTACCAAATTTCATCGAAAAATATTCACCGGTTTTCAAGATATTAGACTTTTACTTTTGTTTACTTTTTGGGATCTCCGCTGTTCCTAGCGACTTTATTTGAAAGTGCGGCATTTGTTGCGCGCAAAGCAGCATATACCACCGCGTGCTGCCAAACGTTTTAGTAAAAGATTTAAAAATCGTTAGATCTCCGCTGACGTCACAAATTCTAAGGGGGCATACCAATGCATTAGCCCCTTAGAATCCGAAAACTGCAAGTTTGAAATTCCATATCTCCGAATTAAAACATTTTTCGATGTTGTGAATGCCCAAACCGGTATTTTCAGGGGACAACACTATTCGACCGCCACCCTTGCAGCCATTCTATAACTCAGGAACTACTGGACCGATCGGAACGAACGAAACACCATTCGAATCAGGGGGTACGATTTTATCAGCCGTTTCGAAGCTCGTGACCCCAGGTGACCTCGGTGACCTCAAGAGGTCAACTCGGCATTGACGCCTATTGCAGCCATTCTATAACTCAGGAACTACTGGGCCGATCGCGACGAAAACACCACCAGTCGAATCCGCGTATGCGATTTCATCAGCCGTTTCGAATATGGTGACCTCAGGTGACCTCGGTGACCTCAAAAGGTCAACTTAACGTTTTCGCCTATTGCAGCCATTCTATAAATCAGGAACTACTGGGCCGATCGTGACGAAAACACCACCAGTCGATTCAGCGTATGTGATTTCATCAGCCGTTTCGAAGCTCGTGACCCCAGGTGACCTCGGTGACCTCAAGAGGTCAACTCGGCATTGACGCCTATTGCAGCCATTCTATAACTCAGGAACTACTGGGCCGATCGCGACGAAAACACCACCAGTCGAATCCGCGTATGCGATTTCATCAGCCGTTTCGAATATGGTGACCTCAGGTGACCTCGGTGACCTCAAAAGGTCAACTTAACGTTTTCGCCTATTGCAGCCATTCTATAAATCAGGAACTACTGGGCCGATCGTGACGAAAACACCACCAGTCGATTCAGCGTATGCGATTTCATCAGCCGTTTCGAAG